TGTTGCGGCTGCGCTAATGCAGCCTGCGACGAATCGAAGAGGGAGGGGGAAAAGGTATAGCGTTATTTGAGTATAGTTATGGGCCGTCCTGGTCGTGCTTCGTGAAGTACTGGCGGTCAGATCATTGACAGCAAGCTGAAGCAAAATATAACAACTAAAAAAAAAAAATTGTCGGGCGGGTAGGATGGCAGCGGCTAGCGGCGAAGGAAATAGCAACCCAGGCTTTGAAACAGAAGGATGAGAGAGACAGGCAGGCAGGAGAGGAGATAGACGGGAAATATCGAAAAGAAGAGGACGGCTGATATTTAAGAGAAGGAGGAGGAAAAAAAAAAACAAGGACACAAAAAGGGGTAGAAATCAAAAGAGCAGTCAGGATGATAAAAAAAAAGGCAAGTAACAAAATCAATCAATCAATTCAGGTAACAGCAGCTCGTCCTTCACCGCCCAGGAGAACACTCGAAAACAGGACGGTCCGAGAGAGCCTCCTGCGCACGACGGCCGGAGAAGGGTGGACGGCCACGAAGCAATTGAATGGGGGGATTGAGACGCTGGGGCGACGGTGGAGATGGGTTTGGAGATGTTTTGAGGACTTCCAGCATGGATGTTGCAGCGGCGGCGGGAGGTTGAGTCAGCCGGGGCTTGGCGGGTTAGTCAGCAGCAGGTGGAGGTCCAGCGGCGCATCTTGCTGAGGACTTCCAGTCTGTAAAGAAGAAATGTTTTACAGTGGCAGCTAGCTAGCTATGGCGTCTTCGTCTGATATTAACTTAACGAAGAATGTTCAATTTGGATTATGTAGGTGGGTTGGCTTAAAATCCGTCTCCAGACGCTCCAACCCTGATATGACTATCTTCTTCTACTGTGCAAGTACTTGTTGGCTTTCCCTTCCTCCCCGTTTTCCCCTTACTGTCCATTTTGTTGATAGGATTGTTGATATTGCTGTTTTGTTTTATCTTTGGTTTGCTGTCCCCAATCCTCCCTGTTTCCGCATTCGACTTCCACACCACCTTGAGGCCAGTTGCCCATAATCTGATTTCGGCGGTATCGTCGACATCCCTTTCCATTCGCGTGAAAATATCCACAATGATAAATTGATGAACTCATACGCAATAATGACTCCCGAGGCATCCTAGCTACTTTTATACTTTGATATTTATGAACTGCACACTTTGCTCCCACCCTTCTCAGGCCTCCTTCTCGTTCTCGCTTCATCTCCCTACATGGGCTATGCTTGGTACGTAGAAGCAGAGACATTACCACCACGCCCAGTCCAGTTGACATGATGGTACTGGCCTTCAGGATACTTCTCATTAGCACACTCTGGCTTGATAAGGAACGTATGCGCGCCAAAGTAATCTCGCTGAGCCTGGAGCAGGTTGGCCGGTAGATCGTGCGCGCGGTAGCCATCGTAGAAACTTAGAGCCGTGCTGAAGGCTGGCGTGGGGATTCCCCATAGTGCACCTTTGCTGACGACATCGCGCCAGCCCGACTGGGCCTTGTGGATGGCCTTGTTGAAGAAGTCATCGAAGAGAAGGTTTTCCAGGTCTGGGTTGTTGCGGTAGGCGTTGGTGATGTCCTTGAGGAAGACGGAGCGGATGATGCAGCCGCCTCGCCACATTAGGGCGATGGAGGGCTTGTTTAGTTTCCAGCCGTATTCTTTTGCGGCCTGGGATTTTGGATTTTGGATTAGTTGATATACTTGGTGGAGAGGGTGTGTTGATATTAAATTGACACTTATATCAAAAAGGAAAGCGAATGGGAAATGATCAAAAAACTCACGTTCTGGATCAGCATGAACCCCTGAGCGTAGGAAATGATCTTGGATGCATAGAGGGCTTGTTCCAGGTTATCGATGAACTCCTCCCTGTTACCGGTGAAGTTTGGGGTGGGTCCCTGGAGAATCTTGCTGGCCCGAACACGCTCTGGTTTCAACGAACTGAGGCAGCGGGCAAAAACTGCCTCTCCGATCAAAGTCACAGGCATGCCGAGATCGAGGGCGTTAATGGCGGTCCACTTGCCAGTACCCTTTTGTCCCGCAGAGTCAAGGATCTTTTCGACTAGAGGTGCACCATCGTCGTCATTGTAGCGCAGGACATCGCGGGTGATTTCGATCAGGAAGGAGTCCAAGACGCCCTTGTTCCATTTTTCGAAGACGTCGCCCATTTCCTTTCCGGTCATGCCTAGGCCACGCTTCATGATATCATATGCCTAGAAGATAACAAGACTCCGATCCCCGTTTAGTGACAAATTCCCTCAGGATGGTATCGCGATGGGAGATCGGACGACAAGACATGAACCGTCTCTGATTGCTCACCTCTGTGATCAGCTGCATATCACCATACTCGATACCATTATGAACCATCTTCACATAGTGGCCAGCACCCTCATCACCAACCCAGTCACAGCAGGGCTCGCCATCACTCTTAGCAGCAATGCTCTGGAAGACGTCCTTAATGTATGGCCAGGCCTCCTCGTTTCCACCAGGCATCAAGCTGGGTCCGTATCGTGCACCTTCCTCGCCACCGGAGACACCTGATCCCACAAAGCGGATGTTCTTGCTGGCTAGGTATTTCGTGCGGCGGTTCGAGTCCGGGAAGTGGGAGTTTCCGCCATCAATGATGATGTCACCGGCTTCGAGATGGGGGAGGAGGGATTCGATAAAATCGTCAACTGGCTTTCCGGCCATGACTAGGAGCATGATTCTGCGCGGTCTTTTGAGCTTTGCGCAGAACTCCTCGATGGAGTGGGCGCCGACGATCGACTTGCCTGAAAATATGACACAGATTAGAGTTGACTCTTTTTCCAATGGGTGAGGGGGTCTGACACATTTAGGAAGAAGGGAGGTAAAAGTAAAAATCAACAGGAAAAACTGAAGAAACGATATGAAATTGCAATCTCAAAGGCTGAACGCCTTACCTTTAGCTTCATTTGCTAGGAAACGATCGACCTTAGATATAGTGCGGTTAAACGCTACGACTGTGAAGCCATGATCTGCCGCATTCAGGATGAGGTTCTGGCCCATGACGGCCAGACCAATGAGGCCAAAATCACCACTGGGAGCAGGAAACGCGGGTGAGCCGACATTGATGCCGGCCAGACGAGCGCTGCAAGTCAGCAATCAAACTTTGTCAGGCGAAACCAGGTGTATATTTTTGGGGGGTGGGGCAAGGTTGAGGAGTGATGAGAGAGTTGGCAGTCTTCCTGCAGGAGTTGGGAGCGGGAAAACCGAGGCAGTGAGGGTTGGAGCCAAACTCGCGGTCGGCACAGTGAAGAACACTTACACTGCCTGATCTGCCATGGCGAAGGAAGGATATAGAAGATTGATTCGTTTTGGGGATTGATTGGCGGATTGAAAGGCGGGTTCGTACGATTCTGAACAAACGGGCGGACCTCTGGTTAGTTTGCAACGATATCACGGAGTGATTGCGAGGAAATTTTTGCTGACCGGACAGCTTCGGAAGCGATGAGACAGGAATTGGAGGCGCAAAAAGGGGAGGGGAGAAAGTGGGATGCTGGGGATGTCGAGGGATTGAGAGAAGTTGAAGGCGGGAAAGCCGACGAGAGACGGGGGATGTAAGTTAAGTACTAAATAAGGATGGATGGATGATGTTAGAAATCAATTGCGCCGCTTTGCCCAATTTTTACGGACCGACATCTCCCACGATTCAACAGTCCTATTTCAGTGTACTATAACATTAATTGATATCATATACATACAGCACTCCGTAATCGTATGTGAAATTCATCTAAGCATCGTGCATTAACTACTGGTGACCCCACTGTTTTGTGAGACGGCATCGTGATGCCCGGCACGAGTCTGTTTTGGCGGGGTATTTTCCAACTGGAACTATTTAGTAGCGGAGGGGCATTTTTATCCAATTTTCCACACAGGTTACATACGGCCTTGACAGCCGCCAGGTGGGATATACTAACTAACCAAGCTGACTGGAACGAGAATTCCACTGACAAAGCATCCTGCATAGCCCATTTTTGCGTCTATTTCTTTGCCACAGGCCCCAGAGCACTGTCTGCCGGATCCTATCATCGATGGGTCGATTGGCCATTCTTTAACCCATACCATGCTAAGATTCCGGTAGGCATCTCACACCCGCCACGGGCTCATGGCTGGGCTTGTTATGGCTGTCATTTTCGCGGCACAGTAGACGTTGAAATAATCCGTCCAAACTACGACTATCCCTACCATGCATGCTGCCATTCAAGAATTCTGTTTATCAAACACCAATACCAAGTACCATAGTCTCTAACCTCACCTAATAGTATCCAACACGGCGTATTGGTGGCATTGCTATTGATATCGCAAATGTTCCCGGCCCATTCCTGCTCTCTCTCTCCTTCTCTCTCTCTCTCTCTCTCTCTCTCTCTCTGTGGGCTTGGGCGTGGAATGGGCAATGACAATATTTTGCATTCATCCTGATCGGTCCGAATGATGATTGATGCTGATTGGTGGATTTTGCGGGCCAAGTTTGTAAAATATACACAATACCACTAGTATTTAACGATGCTAGTGCCAACCCACCATCGACACGTGATATAAACAAGGTTGGAAAATTCCCAGCCTTCAACCTTCTCTTGCACAGTTTGATAAAGACAGCAGTCTCTGTCAGGAATAGCAAGACTCCGTCTTCTGCCAGGGAGAGTGAAACAAGGGGCAGTGTGTGTCGATACTTATCTCTATCGGGAAGAATAAAGTGGAATCAAGCAACTTAACGTGCTCGCGCTCCAAGATCTCCCGCCACGTTTCCACACTCCATCCGGACAGCTATCGCCATCATCCACTGCTCACCCACCCATCACTCCCCAGTGCGAGTTTTTGAAGAACCACTTGCGCTGCTCTAGATCGCAACGTACATACGGAGCCTCTATTTCGTTCCTTGGACGTGCGCAAGGTACGTGTGTCTTTTGTTACTGCACAACTTCGGCCAAAGAAATAGGCTTTCCTGTGCAATCAACATAAAACCCATTTCGACGAGTCTCCGTTCATCATGTCCCTTCCGCCACCTCCAGGTCTCCAACAGCAACCGTCTCAACCCCTGTCCTCGAAACCACCGCCGTCCACGTCTCTCCCCGCACGACCGCCCCCTACTGCTTCTTACCAGCCAACCGGTGCGCCGGGGGTGGCCAATACTGCTTCGACTACTTCTGCTCCTAGACCCGGCGCCGGATACAATTCGCTCACAGCTTTTCAACCCCGTACCGTAACTACCGGCCAATCTTTCCGCACTCACAGCCCTAATGTCTCTGCGTCTCCAGCTGGCTACCAGCACCATCAGCAACCCCATGTCCAGCAATACTCGCGACCGCCCTATGGGCAACCCAACATGACCTACTACGGACAGCAACAGCAGCACTATCAAAATCAACACCAACCTTCACAGCAACACCAAGCGGTAGGCGCTTACGGTCAGCCGGGTGTCCCCCTCATTCAAAATCCCTTCCCTTATCCATCCCAGCCACCAAACAATGCATACAGCGGAGCTGGAAGAGGGTATCACCGCCAAACTGCGGGCTCAGGCCTCGACCCGGACACCGAAGCGCAAATAGCTCAATGGCAGAGCGCGTACATGGGTAAGGAGAGCATCGAAGCCGCACAAGCCGCAGCAAATACTGCCGGCGGCAAAGGCGCATCGGGCGCCACTGGCGCCAACGCGGGACCACTGGGAACCGTCCAACGCACACACGACGCCGCAGCGTCTTCGGCGCCATCCAGCGGTGCGCGGACGACTTCATCCACGCCTATACCGCCAGGTGCAACCGCAGCGATTGGCGCAGCTGCAGGCACAACCGCAGGTGCAGCCGAACCGGCCAAAACTGTCGTCCGCTCCGGCGGCGGCCAGAGCTGGACAGACTCCACGCTTCTCGAATGGGACCCCGCACACTTCCGCCTCTTCGCGGGCAACCTCGCCGGCGAAGTGACGGACGACTCTCTCCTGAAGGCGTTCTCGAAGTACCCCTCCGTGCAGAAGGCGAGGGTTATTCGCGATAAGCGCACGGAGAAGAGTAAAGGGTATGGTTTTGTAAGTTTTAGCGATGGGGAGGATTATTTCCGTGCTGCGAGGGAGATGCAAGGGAAGTATATTGGATCGCATCCCGTTTTGCTGAGGAGAGCTATGACAGAAATCAGACCCGTGGCGGCGTCGAAGGTTGGGGGGGTGGGGGCCAAGGGGGGTGGGAAGAAACGTGGAGGGGGAAGTGGTGGAGGTGGAAAGGGTGTTGGCAGTGCTGGAGGCGGCGGCGGCGGTGGCGGCGGTGGTTCGAAAGTTATCGATGGTGGGATACAGAAAAAGCAAGGGAGGACGAAGGGTGGCTTGAGGGTTCTTGGATAATGCGCCCCGTACTTACTTGTTTTCTGACTTTCTTCCTTGTGCTGGTGTTTTGTCGGTCGTTGACATTTGGCGAGTCAATTAAGTTTTGGATGGTTTATGTATTCATCTATTCCCGTTTCCCTTGATCGTGTTTCCTTTGTTTTATTCGTGGGTATAAGCTCTCTAGAATAAGTCGATACAAAGCGCATGGAATTTTGTGTGCTGTTTAACTGATAACTTGTCTTCGAGACCTTCCCCCTCCCTTCCCTCATGTTACCCGTAAACGTTTCGGAGATAAGCAGTTTTACATACATGGCGGGGTGGAGTGTGTGAACCGTCCATACCAAGCTCAGAGAAGGGCGGGAGCCTACCGCCACACACACACACACAGGGAAATTGAGTCAAGGCTCATTTAGGTTTGGGTGGTTATATTTATGTATTTTATTTACTTATTGGGAGTACGTTTGAGAGAAAAAGAGAAAATTTCCGACTTATGTTATAACTATCAATAACGGTGCAGTTTGATCTCTCTCACTCATACATTTCCCATTTCGAACCTCTTAGTGAAATTCTCTGGGCCTTCCCTTTCTTCCCTTTTTTTTTTTTTTTTTTTTTTTTTTTTTTTTTAGAGGGTTAAATAAATAAACATCAAAAGCAATCTGTTTCTTCCACTCTCCGTTTGGGTTGGCTTCCTGGTAAGCTGGGACATGAACAAAACAAAACAACTAAAACATGACAATGTCTGTTACGTGGCTGCTGATCTCGGGTTGTCTTTGTTAATAAAATAAGCTGAGGACAAAGGAGAGTTGACCAGTCCCCAAGGGAGAGAGAAAAAAAAAAAAAGCCTTCGTGGGTGTCGGGAAAAGCATTCTAAGAAAGGCATTCTTAACCAATTAGATAGAACTCCTGTGATCTGTGGCATTAGCTGTAGATAATTCGTCATCAAAATGACAAACGTATATGGGGCGCAGACGCATGAAATAAACCATGGAAACGATACATAGAAGTTTGAAATAATAGATACTTAGCGAAATGGAAACTGGATATTGCAGTGGGCGGTGTTCAAGTGTCCAAACAAATGGGCGGTCGGCTGCTTCACCGAACTCTGAAGGGCCCGAAATTCTGGTCAGATATCTGCCAAATCCGACGTTGCTGCCGTCGTTTGATACCTGTAGCTGTGACAGATCAGGATAATTTGATCATACGCGCCAAGGGGTGGTGTCAGCTTTGCCCTGCGAATAGCTATACCATGCACAATCGATCGCGTCGAGGAATGTTGTTTGGTAGCAATGGATCAATCGTAACCTGCTACCGATTAGTCGCGGGCCGATTGTAAAATAGCTCTGCCGATATATTAGCCACACGTGTAGAAACCCTAGACCCGGTGAAAGTTTGTATTTGCTTTGTGTATATGCTTATCCATGAGTTCGAAATGAGAGCATGCGTCGTTTTGCAGGCTGCGCTTCTGGAGGGATGCCTGCTCTTTTTTGGCCTTGCTCGTTTTGAGCCGGCTCGAACTTCTTCACCATCAGACTACCATAACAGTTAGTTCATGCATTCGGCGGGTATACGGCTCTCTAATAGGGGGCGTGTCGGTAAGAATCTTTATACGCACCTGGTCCTCTGAAGATGCCGCTTCATCAATTAAGGCAGTTGTGGCGAGCCAACCTTGGCCAGGCGTAGCAGGAGGAGTAGCCGATACAGAACTACAATAATAAGGGCTTGTACAATCATTCATTCCCCCAGATTCCCACTCACTCTCTTTAATGTGCAAGCGTCACTTGTTTTTGCCAAGCTTTGAACTTTTTCCAGCCGGTAGAATCGAAGATAGATTTACAGGCTCGAGAGCCTTCCTGCCTCGTATCACCGCGCAATTTATTTATGATCGAATTAGATGTTTTGCAAAAGTAGTGGACGCCGTCGAGGCAGCGAGTGGTCGCCTCAAATTTGTACTTTTTGAGACATTTGTGGCATTTCCACATCCAAGGGTCTGGTGTTGGCGGCGTTGCAGGTAGATGATCTCCTTCGGTGTCTTCTGGAAACTTCGGAGTAAGGCAAGGTGTTATAGTAGGGCTTTGTTATGGAGATGTCCTAATGCTTGTGTCAATTGTCGCTTGAATATCATCGATGTCGACCGGAGAGTCCTGGGAGTTTGAATCCATGATTACCACAGTGGAAAGGCAGGCAAGTACCTTCACTGAGAAAATATGTTCTCAGTGTTTGCTGAAGAAAACTCAGTGCTTTATATAATAAAGACTTCTATAGAAAAGAGAGCTTCTGGCACATGCCGATGTTAGGCAGGGTGTTGCCGAGAGGGAGTGTTTTACAAAGTTCAAAATGCCAAAACTGCGTTTTATGGAAAAACCAAATCCTCTATTTCAGGCGGAAGAAAAACACCTTAATAGCTATTGAAAATAGGGCGCAGCGGACTGATCACAAGCTGCTTTCATAGAATGAAAGTAGTCAATAAAACTGCAAGATATAAGAATCAAAAATAAAAGCGAGGAAAGTAAAGAGCTTGCGGGAAATCTGGAATATAAATAGTTCACCTACATTTCGTACCATCCCGATGGTAGAAACCGGGCTTGACGAGGAGAACGTGGAAGCTCATTGTTCAAAGCATAGACAGATAATTCATAAAACATGTGAACGGAGGCAGCTGCTTTGCATAGTATGTGCTACAAACGCTGGAAAAGGCAAATCGTCCGATATGTTTGCAATTAGCTTTTATGCAAAAACGGTTAAAAGTCGGTTCCTGTTAGGGAATATCCGGACACGGGGATATCCCACGATCTGCTGGAACGTTTGAATATGGATTCCCACGTCGAGGAGCCTTGTGTCCTTGACAAAAGCTGTGGAGACAGTTTGATATCAATGCTTTGAGAGAACGAGAAGGAAAAAGGGAGAGTTTGACTTTTTGATAGACCTTATCACACGTGACTTGGGCCCCGCCCAGAAAAGTATGAGAGCTACAAACCGATGAATGACTCAGGGCCTGTTATTCTATACCGCATGACGAATATCTTTATCGCAGTTTATTTGGATCCTACGAGACAAGAATTTGAGTGGCATTCATATTTGATCTGCTATTTTCATTCACATTTGCACGTCCTGTCAAAATGACTACCCCGCCTCCTGGCGCGGCGGAGGTCGTGGTTCCAGTGCACGATGGGGAGCGGAAGGTGGCCACGGAACAACAGATTGACCCTTGGAATGTTGAAGCTGGACATGACGCCCAAGGGAATGCCATTGCCATTGACTATGTTGCACTTTCGCAGTATGTTTTGGATTCCTCTACTTCGGCCGGGTGACTTGGGCCTCACACATGTGGGACAGGAAATGGGCGACCAAATTAATCGACGATGAGCTCCTCCAACGTTTCGAGCGTCTTACAGGCCATAAGCCCCACCGTTGGCTGAGGCGCGGCCTTTTCTTTTCACATCGCGATTTCGACAATATCCTCAACAAGTACGAGCGGGGGGAGCCCTTCTTCATGTATACCGGAAGAGGGCCTTCAACCGATGCGCTACATCTGGGCCACACAATCCCTTTCTCGTTCACAAAGTGGCTACAGGATGTATTTGATGTCCCATTGGGTATGTTTAAAGAGATGGTCGACGTTATTCGACGCTGGAGTTTTGTTGTTTTCGGCTAGGCTGACTCTCTGTAGTTATTATGCTTACAGGTGAGCCGCGCGATTAGTTCAAAATATCTAAAGTCTATGTTGACAATCGAAGACGACGAAAAGGCCCTTTTTAAGGACAATCTCACATTCGAAGATACCTATAAGTTCGGGTTGCAGAATGCGAAGGATATCATCGCTTGTGGGTTTGACCTGAAGAAGACTTTCATATTTAGCGATCTGGATTATGTAAAGGGTCACTTTTTGATGAATGTTTGGGAATTCTCGAAACTCGTAACGTTTAACCAGGTTCGAGGAGCGTTTGGGTTTAATGAGAGGTTAGTACTGTTAAGCTCTGTTCTCAGGTCATGCAGGAGCGCTGAGAGAACAGGAGAGCGCCCTAATCAGCGCGAGGAGTTGTTTTGTCAGGCGGTGTTGACATGAATAAACTAGTGGCTCTCGCTCCTGATATTCTTCTGCTCTTGTCTCCTGTCTTTGTACTTCTCTAATTGCTCGATCGATTTGATGGTTTCTAACATTGTACAGCACAAATATCGGCCGGATAATGTTCCCAGCTGTGCAATGGTATGTTATTCGCTCCCAAAAGTCGTGTATTCCGCTGACTGTGAGATAGTGCAGCTGCATTTGCAACGTCCTACCCAGAGATCTGGGCTCATAACCCACCCGCCCTGAGGACTAAAGATATAGGCAAAATTCCTTGTTTAATTCCTATGGCTATCGATCAAGATCCGTATTTCCGACTGGTTCGTGACAATGCTTCGCGTATGCGATTCCCAGGGCCAAAGCCGGCCCTGATACATTCCAAATTCCTTACGGCTCTGCAAGGTATCGGAGGGAAAATGAGTGCAAGCGACCCGAAGTAAGAATACGGATCTCCCCTAGAAATGACACAGATTTAGTAACTTACACCCTTGCTCATAGTTCTGCAATTTTCATGACGGATACTCCAAATCAAATTAAGGTTCGATTATCCTTTACCCTATCACGCCTGATCATCACTGCTTACTAGTTCACCTTGCAGAAAAAAATTATGAAGCATGCATTTAGTGGAGGGAGAGACAGTATAGAAGAGCACAGACGGCTAGGCGGTAATCCTGATGTTGATGTTTCGTTCCAATGTAAGTGACTATTCCTTAAAAGTTATTGTTTTACTGAATCACAATATCTGACCACACCCCATGAATAGACCTCACGTACTTTGAAGAGGATGACGAGAAGATCAAGCAGATCGAAGAAGGCTACCGGAAGGGGGAAATCCTCACCGGGGAGCTGAAGACCATGGCGATCACTTTACTTCAAGAATATGTGGCAGAATTCCAGGCTCGGAGAAAGCTTGTTTCGGACGAGCTCTTGAAACAGTACATGACTCCCCGAAAGCTGGAATGGAGAGGAAATCCCAACCCTAAGCCCAAGGAGGTCAAGCCGAAGGAATCGAAACCGAAGGAACCTAAGATAAAGGAGACGAAACAACGTCAGGATGAAAATTGAGAGCAAACCAGCGTCAGATATAGATATCGATGTTCAGCAGATTAGATATAGATTCTAGGTTTGGAAACAGATACTAGGGTTTGTTACCCGATAACTGCGCCTCTTTATGGCTAGGAATACCGAAGTAGATTATGAATAGAAGGGAAATACATTGAACATAAGGATATTATTTCATCTTTCGACTACGTCCTATAACTAATGATTTTGCTTGTCCATCCCAAGGCACTGCGATATTTACAGGCTAGGACTCAACAGGGTAATGACATAACGCTGCCAAATTACGGCGTATTCAAGAAACAGGAGAGATGGTATATCCCCTTGTTAGAAATAGCGTGCCATACTCGTATGATGCACTCCAGCTTTCAAGACCGTCTCACTTACTCATATGCCCGTGTTTCGCCACGGGAGGGCTTTTGGCACCATTATGGAGAGTACTAATTAATATAAATTTGGAGGCATTCTATTTTCCTGCAAACCACGGACATCACCAAACATGGCCAATGCATGTACTAGTTAAACTCCCTTCTCGAGGGATGCCCCTTTTTCCGATCGAAATCATAGTTATGCATTTAAGAAAGGTCGTTGAATACTACAAGATGCGTGTTCACCAACCTTGGGAATAACCCGAGAGTATTTCTACGAGAACTAGAGTACAGCCTTTGAAAAAATGCAGAGAATCAACTGTGTCAGCTCCGAAATGATTATTCACAACATGATTGATATTGTTCAGGTGAGTGCTAGGAACATTATGAATAGTTGCATCACATCACATCACAACCTGGATCACTTTGTCTTCACTGTTTGTCTTGGATGTGGTGAAGTACGACTGCCGGTCTCGGTATCTGTATCTGTATCCGTATCTTACACTGTATTCATCAAGCGACAAAACACACTAGTGACAGTTACTTGTGGCTGGGAAATTTCTCGCCGGGCCATCTTCAACGTTATTCGACCAGCCACGTCTATTTCCTATGTGTAGCTGCGTGGGGAATACTAGTCCGGTGCTTGCACACGCTAGAAATGTAATTGGAAATCTCAATACCGCGTCTCAAGCCAAATCCAGTCCTCGCTGTCGAAGTTATAGGGCCTTGGTGCCTGAAATGACAGCCAAAGCTGATGATTCTTGTATCATGCTTACCATATAAATTTCTAGCCTGCACAAGCGACGACTTTCCACGCCTCCGTACGGATTACTTCTATGATTGTTGATCTGGCAGCAGTCAATGAATTAAAGGCAGGGCTGGGGAATGAGGCAGGTTGATGATATATTATGCCTGAGGGTATTTTTTTTTTTTTTTTTTTTTTACTTTCTCTTCCCTTATTTTTGCTCTCTTATATTCTTTTCGCTTTTCCCCTTGCATAGTGTTTTGGCAGGCGACTCCTTGCGTTCTCTCTTCAAGTACTATAAATTTTCCCTTTTAACTCGATACATGATTATTCTCTGTATTTATTTCTTCCATTTTTACTCATAGATTACGAACAGTTTGCCCTGAAGTAAGTCAAGCTTTTAGTCATTTTGCTCTTTGTTTTTTCCTCAGCCGTCGCTTGAATCCGATCGGATTGCCGCTCAAGGTATACACGATGAACCTGCCTGCTGCGCTAAACGTGTATTACATGTCCAAATGATGGCACAACCTGAAGATGGAAGAGAAGTATGTTAGCTGACATGTCCTCTCTACAGAAAGAGATTTGCATCTGTATAAAAACGGGAGACGATAACATATATCAAATCTCATTTCCAAAATTTGGCAACTTTCTCCTTCCAAGAACCTCAGGGCTGTAAACCAGTATCAAGCATCTTTTGGATCTCGAAAGCCAACCACCAAGTTGCCTGCTCCATAGACCTCGAAAAGAGGAACGAAGGGCGCCCCAACCCGCACAGCCACCGGACTCGCTCTCTGCATTTTCACGCCAAACGTCGATACTAAGAAACAAAAGACAAAACAACGGAAAAAAAAAAAAAAAAAAAAAAAAAAAAAATGGTTAAGCGAAACATTACCATCGCTATTATCCTCATCCTTTTCTTCCTGATTGTCGGAATAATCTGCTTCGTGATCTACGCCATTAAAAACAGCCTCGCCTTTTTCGGCCGTCAGAGAGCAGTCGATGAAGAGGATGGAGAGTGACTAATCGGTTCGTTCGACCTATAGTTACATAGCACCGGTTATATATAACCCGATGCACCATTCTAAAAATTCGATGAAAGTGGTTGGAGGCAGTGGGGCAAAAAATAAAAGACATCATGGGAATTTATGTCGCCATACAGGAGAGATTTCTTTTTCTAAAGTTAAATTTCCAATCTTTTTAGAAGCGGAAACGACTGCAGAGAAAAGCCTTCTCCAAAAAGGACAGCCTTTCATCATCGACTCCAAGACCACAGTTCCGAATAACGCCCTTAACGTCGCCGTATATATAAACAGTGCAAATCCGGGCCCACGACGTTTGATAATATATGCACATGATATATACCCCCTGCTTAAATTATATACCCATCTTCATTTACTATATTGCTACCCCCACCCCGAAACGTGGGAATTCGTATTTATTATCGCCATTTTTACGGCTTACGATGATGACGGCTTTGGGTTTGGGTTTGACTTTTATGATTTTCTTACGAGCAGCATGCATGAATCGTTAAAAAAAAAAAAAAAAAAAAAAAAAAAAAAAAAAAAAAGACGACTTTATGAAAATAGGATTAGGGCTCTGGGGGCGTTGCATTGGTTATATTGGGCGTCTTAATCGGAGTTTTAGGGTTTGTTGTTTTATTATTCATAATCTTTTACAATGATTTTGGGATACTTATTTATTTAATATTTTCGTTCGTTGCCTCATTGAATGTATTTACGAACACAATCCATGTTACGGTGCATGAGTAATAATATATATATATACTCCGTACTCCGTATATATATAATAACTACCTGTCCATCGTTTCCCCGAAGCTCCTTGATGTTCACGCGGCGGCGGAAACCCCTCTAGCTGTCACCGATGAAGACCCGAGGTTAATGCAAGTCGTCGAAGGTATGTCTAGAACATCATACCAGAAACACTGAATTGGATGCATCACACAGACGAGTTATGGAGATTCATTCCTTACGCATGTCGAAGAATGCAAATGCAGTTTCAATCTCCATATCAAAATTTGTACAGTACATGTAGTAGTAAGTAATAGTAGTGCAAAGAACATGGATGAAAAACAATAAAAGTAGAATATAAAATATCATACATAACTGGAGCCTTGTTGATTGATTGTGAAGATGTGAGCGTGATGAAATCAAATACAGCTTCTAGAGAGCCTAGCCTCCGGGGTCTCTGCTTGGCCTACTCC